TGCTTGGAGCTCCAATACACCTGGTCTGGATGCTGGCTCTGCCACTGACATTGGATCTTGGGGGAAATCAATCTCTGAAATCATTTTCCTCATTTGTAACTGGAAATAATGGCAGTTTCTATCTCATAAGGTTTTAATAAGAATTCAATAATATGATGAATATTGGGTTTAATGAGTCTATATTTGGTAAGCATTTTATAAATATTAGCTTTATTATTGTTGATGCTATTAATTTTGTATAATATATTGTTGATATTTTAAAGAATGTTTTTTGAATACTTTCTCTCTGTGCTGTTCTTTTAAATTGTAGTAGTATCCTAATGACTGATATTGATTAAATGAAGAGGAAAATTTTAATTCTGTAGCGTTCACTCCAAATTAAATAAAACTATCTATAGCCAAGGTAGTCTAGGAGAACAAGGTAGAGAAAAAAATAAAACAGAATCTTCTATTTCTATGAGAAGATATCCAGGTGATTGTTTTCAGCATTGTCTGATGTTTCCAGATTCTTTGCAAAAATAAAAGAGGGAAAACTCTCATAGTAACTCCACTCTGAAAAGTTTTTCTTTCAAGATTCAAATCCCAATTAAACTGGAGTGGATAGAAAAGTCTGTGGCAGATGCTTTGCTGCTAACCACGGGCTTCACAGTGTTCTGATGTCATTGGAAATCACTACGGACAGAAAATTGTAAAAGATTGATCTTTCACTCATTTAATGTATTTCACACTCAGGGTAGATGTAACCTTTACCATTACTTAGAGAATTTTATTTAGTGGGACTGACATGGTGGCTCATGCCTATAATCCTAACTTTTTGGGAGGCCGAGGAGGGAGGATTGGTTGAGACCAGTAGACCAGCATAGCCAACATAGTGAGACCTGAGCAGGTGTTTAAGTAAATTTACACTTGGCAAATATCCCTTTCTCTTTTGCTTGTTGCTGGAAGCTTCACTGGCCAGCCTGTCCTTACCATTGCACCAAACTTTTCTAACAATTAGAGTCATAAGATGTGAGATTTGAGTAATTTAGAGAGATAATTAGGCCAGTTGCCTGCTTTGATCCCTAAAATTAAAATCCAAAGGAATTCAGATGATCTGCAACTCAAAATAAGAATTTTGTACAATTCCTGATGGAGATGTATGTATACAGATGTAATAACAGCTTACTGAGATAATTTACATAGCATAGAGTTCACCAATATATACAAATCCATGGTTTCTGAATGTATTTACAGAGTTTTATAACCATTATCATAATCACATATGATCGCAAATTATATGTAATTCGGCTGAAGGCTCCAGCTGGTAATCACCAAGCATTGTTCCTCTGCCTTGCTTTGCCCTCTGCCTAACCCCTGGAAACTGGTGAAAGGGTATAGTCCTGCTGTTCTTCCAGCACCAGATATGTTATCAGATAGGCCTGGGACTGTAGGAGATGAATGAGTACATATATATTCATATGTATGTATATACAGATATATTTACAAACAGAAAAATGTTGACTGCCTCTGAAAGTTACAGTCAGTTGACAACTTTACTGGGTGAAATGTTAAGTGGCAAAAATGTTAAGAAGAAATATCCCTTTCCTGCATTTCCCTCATGCATTCTGGGGGGAAAATGTACCCAAGCACATATTCCAAAACATTTACTATTTTCTGCAGATTGTTATTCATTTTCAACATTTTTTAAAGTTTCTGTATTTTTAATTTTGTGGGTACATAGTATGTGTATATGTTTATGGGAAACGTGATGTTTTGATTCAGGCATGCAATGTGGAATAAGCAGGCACAGAAAAACAAGGATCACATGTTCTCACTTTCTTGTGGGATCTAAAAAGCAAAACAATTGAACTCATGAACATAGAGAGTAGATGGATGATTACCATTTTATATATTTCTTACACACATAACTCACCTTATGTGACATAAGGATTTATGCTTCTGTTAACCAATTCTGAATTATGATCTTTATTCACTTATTTGGAAATAATAGATCCTATTAGCTTTGATTTCAAAAAATCAGAAGCTATCTTTTGAAGAGTTCTTTCCAGTTGTGCCTGCTTAATTTTATTTTTGAGGAAATTTAAGTTCCTATGTGAAAGTAAGGTTGTCTAATACCACCTTAATTTTTGGTAATATTATCACTTTTTGGTAATATTACTACCACTTTTTCCATGTGATAAAGGGAAGATTTTTTTTCTTATTGTGATATGTTAGAAAAAATTTTCATGTTTCAAAAAGATAGGTGGCTACTAGTTCATTCTTAAAATATTAGTTCAAATACTGCATAGATTTGAACTAAATATCTCATAGATGGTCCTCATAATTGCCCCAAACATATTATATTCTATTTACCGGTTCAACACTAGCAAATCTATCAACTGCACAGTCAATAATAAAACAAGTTAGTTTTTAAATATAGAAAACAGAAAATCTAAAAAATAACCTTGAAATTTAACAAAAAGGTTGTCATTAGCATGTATTTTACAATAAATCTCCCTTCAGATAAAACTTGTATTTATTTACTTACAAACACATTATTATCAGTATTACAATTCTTGTCTAGAAGTATACTTATCTGACATTGTTTTTTGTGTGTTTCTTCTCAAAATACCAACTAATATTCTCTGAAATGAGAATTAACGTCTCTCTAAGGATGTAAAACAGAGGCTGAATGGACTTTGGAGTCAGATGGATCTAAGTACAAATTCCAGCTCTGGTGCTCACTACCAGTGTGACGTGTACATATAAGGTATTTGACTTTTCTATACCCTAGAATTCTCATCTGTATAGTAGAATTTCTATAAAGGGCAAAAAATAGATATTTATGAAATGCCTAGAAAATAGGAGACTTTAGATACATAAATCATGCTTACTTTAAAGAAGTGGATATGTGCCTCTGATGTATGTAGAAAAGAAAGGTTCTGTTTCAGCTTTTCATTTACCTTTTTATTTGACAGACAGTTATTGAGTGCCTACTATTTATCTGACACTAACCTAGACCCCAGAAGATAACACTAAACAAGTTAGCCCTGATGCTTCTCCTTTTTTGAGGTTTTTCAATATATTTACAAGATAATAGATCTTTTTTCAGTTTTCTTAAAGATAAGCTGTAAAATATCTTGGCTTATTTTGTAAACTATTTTATCTAAGGCATTATTTTACCTGGCCTATCATTCACAGTGGCTAGCAGTTTATCAACTATTCAGTACACCAAGTGAGACTGGGGAAAGAACATGGGCTTTGAAAACAGACAGACGGTTTTGAATCCCAATTCCGCCTTGTGACCTTGAACAAGTTGCTGAATTATTTTGAATTATTATTTCCCTACCATTCAACTACCATTGAGTGGTTATTGTTATAAAATACTACATAATTTCTTTAGATCTTACAAAACTAACCATGAATGGTTCCATTATGTTTTACTACATCATGTGTAAAACATAATGTCTGACTTATATTAGGTTTTTAATCAATGGTGGCTGTCATAATTATTTATTAAAATACCTGTTTTAGTTATTTATTAAAATATCATTATACCATTTTTAAAATGGTAGCTGCTATAATTATTTATTAAAATACTTGGCTGGGTGCAGTGGCTCACACATGTAATCCCAGCACTTTGGGACGCCAAGGTGGGCGGATCACGAGGTCAGGAGATTGAGACCATCCTGGCCAACATGGTGAAACCCCATCTCTTCTAAAAATACAAAAATTAGCTGGGTGTGGTGTCGAGTGCCTATAGTCCCAGCTACTCAGGAGGCTGAGGTAGGAGAATTGCTTGAACCCAGGAGGTGGAGGTTGCAGTGAGCCTAGATCATGCCACTGCACTCCAGCCTGGGCAACAGAGTGAGACTCTACCTAAAAAAAAAAAAAAAATACAACCTATGAATTTTATCACTTTTAACACCATAGGTAATTCTTAATTAAAACTCCTAAAAAGTGTACAGCATATACAGCATATCATATCAATAAATATTCTCTTCTTCTCTTTATTTCCTTGCCATAGTCTTCAAAGCCCAAGATACCATCAGTCCTGCAACCTATAAAGCAAGTGCTGAAGAAGGGGTAATCTGATTTGGAGAAATATAGAAACAACAAAGGTAACACAATGCTGATATAGAATTATCTAAATAGTGTAGAAATAACAATAACAAATATATACTGAGTGCATATCATATGCTGGCACTTGTCTGAACATAATATCATTATCTCTTCATTCCCATCGAAGGTCACTCTAAGGCCTGCAATCTTGAACTGTACTGTAACAATCTCTCTCAAAAGAGATGACATCCTAGACTGAGAATTGTGAGTGGCCCATCAGAATGTTTGCTGAGCCAGATTCAGTAACAGCAGAGGAGAAAACAAAATAGCACAGGAGTCTGCAAAACTGATCCCCCATTTGAGCAGTCTAATTCTGCATTAGTTGTTCAGAAATAGAAACTTAATAAAAGGTATGAGAAGTGGGTGTTTTTGTCATTCTTAAATCATCCTTTGTAAATAATTGCCTTTCAAGATTGAACTCCCTTCAGAGTAATAAAGGCAAACTTTTAACAGGTTAAAAAGGCACAGAATCATGATATTTCTTTTCAATAGAACTATTAAGCATTTCTTCAAAATAAAATAACTCATTAAAAAGGGCACGCTGTCCTTTTATACACCAACTTAATCATCTAATCAGTTTAGTATCCCAAAAAGTATGTAAATACTACTTAATTTACTAGTCAAGTTGGCTTATGGAAATTGCTACTTAGCATGATTGCCTCTGGATAAAGAACAAACAGGTAGGGAAAAACACCAATTTAATAAAGTCGTTTCACCCTTCTGGAGTGAGACTATCAAAAACATGTCTAGACTAGTAAATTATGCAGCTGAGCAAAGATTCTTAAAAAGTACTCCAATTATCATTTTAAAAGTTCAAAGAGTTTTCTGGGTTAAGTAACCAACCCTTAGAGGGTCTATAAAGTTTACCAAAATGGCAGCATTTTAAATTAGTCTCTTACCCTTTCCAAGTGCTCCTGTATTTTGAACTCCACATCTTGGATGTGTGAAATCATTTTGTTGACACATGGTGCTGGGATGTTTACTACAGCACAGCTGTGACGTCGACATGGGTAGCTAAAGTAAATGCCTTTATTCACCCCTAAACAGAACAAATGGAAGAATTTAATTATTCATTATATACAAAGTAGTAAACCATGATGTTTAGAATAAGCAAAAACTATTCTGCTTTATTAGTGCTAATACTCCTAAAGTTTCCTTAATAGAGAGGTTGATAAATCTGTCAGAAAATTATAGAACAAACCTTCAAAAAAATGTAAAAGCTAAAGTAAAATATCATTTATGATTTAATTCTGTAACAAATAAAAATGAACCTAAGAAGCCAAAATAAAACTTCAAATATCCTTAAAAAACATAGCATCACGAACTAAACATTTAAAAAAATGAAAAAAAAGGCAGAAAAACCAGTTGACCCATGTGTTTCTAAATAAATTCTGAATTCCTCAAAAATTACTATGAAAGATATTTTAAACATTCCCTTCGAAGAGATGCCCTCTTCCAATGTAAATAATACCCAACTACTCATGCATTGAAGTTCTTCCTTAAATCCAGCATGAGTTTCTCTTGCTGGAAAAAAAAAATAAAAGCAGGTCTCCTTCATCCTCATAATAACCTCATTTTCTACCTTCCATTTCTGAAAATTGGAGTCTCACGCAAAAAGTGATTGATGTTCTCACTATAGCATTCACGCTGTACTCATCATAAAATCCACTCAGTCTGATGTGCCTCAGTGATTCTAATCCTGGCATGTCCCAAATTGACTGAAGGTTGCAGAAGCACAGCAAAGTTGTCCATGAAACTCCACCAAAGTGCTTACTTGCAGTCCTTTTGACTGTAAGGACTCTATTGGGCTGGATTATAGTTGCAATCACTGATCTTAAATGGGATACACCAAATATGCTCAGCTTCTCAATGAGAACAGTGTGATGTTCTCATTTCAATTGACCTTGAGGGAACAGAGAACTAATCCTGCTGTTTTGTTTCAATGCCAGCCCACAGAGATGGTAAATATTTTTGGTATCTTCATTTAAACTGCAATCTTTAAATATCTTTTAAATGAAGCCTTATAATATCTTCCTCTGGAAACACAATCTCTTGTGAAAATGGCATGTTTTGTTTATAAATAAAAATGTTCAGTCTGTCCTATAATGTTTGAACCTCTCTCTCTCATATATATGTGTATATATGTAACACTGAGCTTTTTTTTGAGCACTAAAAATATGACATAAAGCTAAGCTAAACCCTCTTGATGCCACACTTTATTTAATCTTCACAACAATCTTATGAAATGGGATTATTATCTTGATTTTATAGATGAGGAGATCAAGGCTTGGATAAATTATATGACTTGTCTAAGTCTACAGAACAGGTACGTAGGACAACTGAGACTGGAACTAAATCTCCCTGGATAAGCAGTATAAGCTGTGAAAACTGTTTTATATTTTAAAAGTATGGCAAAATAAAGAAAAACAGTAAAAAACATACTTCAGGGCATCTCAAATGTTTTGCTTGTTTTTAGGTTTTGAATGTTCCTTCATAATATCAGTGTTGGTATCCTATGTCTTTTAGTTTGCTTTGACCATATTCTGAACATAAACATGTGTGTGATTACATATATATATTACAGATTTATATATATGTATATATACACATACATATGTATATATACACACATATATGCACATAAGTGTATATATGTGTGTATATATACATATATACACTTGTAAAATATATATAATCACACACACGTGTGTTTATATACATATATAAATGTGTGTGTGATTATATACATATATAAATCTGTAATAGTCAAAAGACCAACGAACAAGCCAGAGAAAATTACATATTGATCTCCTATCCAAATGTCTTGATAAGGGCAGATTGCCCCTCCTTTTAGAGAAAAGAAGGTTTTGATACACATTTAACAAGTAAGCAGTCAAAACATTTATTTTGCTTCATTAAGTATGGAGAAAACAAGGATAGTAATAATTCCTTTTATATTTTTCTTGACTGTGCCACTCTCAACTTATTTTGTGAATACTAATTAATATCCATAGCACTCCTATAGTTTAAGTCAAATATGTAAATATGGTAAAGTAATGGGAATGAAATACTACAAAATTAAATTTGCACTAAAATCTATAAAAGACATAACTTCCTAAATAGCACAAGATTTAACCAAAATTCAGTAGTTCATGTTACTTTTTTTATTCCGTTGCAAGTATGGCATAAGTTAAAACTATCAAGTTTTAGGAATTTAACCCAGCTTAGGGTGACAGCATGATACAATCAAAAGATAGCTGAACTGGTTTCTGTATTTTCTTGACTGAACTAATAACTAGCTGCACATCTTTAGCTAAAACTGTTCAGTCTCTAGGACTCGGATTTCGCACTTAATAAATTAATATATTGGTAGGATGTCATATAAGATCTTTTTCACCTAAAATTCCAAATATAAATCAAGGAAGCTCCTCCTTGTGAAGCCTGTGGACAAATGGCCAGTGTGCTACAAGACTATATAAAGTATATAAAGAATTAAGTATGTCAAGAATTAAGCCACAAGACTTTCATCCTCTGGAAACATGTCTCTGACTAAACTTCCTTTCCCAGAATTAATGCATAAAAGACAAGATCCTCCTGGCTCCAAGCCAGAGTTGAGGTTTGCTGAGACTCTGCAACATGAAACTTCTATTTGAGAAAAAATACCAACTACCTTTTTGTGTGGATAAATGAAATAGAAATATTATGTTTATAAACTGTCAACTCTTACTGCTTCACAAATTTGATCCTTATATAACTTACTCACCCAGCTCCAATTATTTAACTTTTATCACAAGAGTCCTTTCTTTTCTTCTGCTTTTTATATGTGCTTCCTTTATGTATGTTACACCAATTATTCCATCATCCCTTTATCTCAACTTGGAATGCTTAGGAAAAATTCTGCTGAACACATATTTCCTTTTCACATTGCTATCCTCTTTAACATCTTGGTTTTCTTTCCAAAATGTAACATAAGTCAGTGCTCTTGAGGTTAAAAATAATTTGTCCTTTATGCAAAGACTCTTTCACAATGAACATAAAACATCTTTAATGTTTTACATAAAACAAAGTTCTCTTTAGCTTTTGTTATATATGATAAAAAAAATACCTTTCACTGACATTACAGTTATTACATTTTAATTGGACCTTACACTGTTGGAGACACTTATCACTAAATATCTAGAATAATACACAAGGACTCTCAGAGTTGGAGGTGGCTAAAAACTGCTTCTACTCTAACCTCATTCAATGTGCAATGCCCCTGTTCTGTGTTCACTGACTGCCATTCTCTTCTCTTCAAAATCTGCAACTTCAATACATATTTTAATTTGCTTTGTATACTCACAGGTCTCCCCACTACCTTGCCTGACCACTTCCTACAGCTATTATCCTACAGCTATCGAATTTTGCTGTGACTAGCAATTTTTTGAAAGAACAGTTTATACTGGCAGCCACAATATCCTCATGCTCTGATCTGTTCTTCAAATTATGATTTCCATACAAATATTAAGATCCATCTTACACGGTTCCTTGCCTGTGAGGAATACTAAGATCTTTCAGACATTCGAGTGCACCTATAGCACTTTTCATTTCTCTTTACTAGAACAGCTCACATTGCATTCTGCTGTTATCACATTTATGTTTTCTCATCTATCTTCCCCATGAAGTTTTACATTCTTTACAGAAAACAACTATAATAAGTGCCTGAGATAATTATTGAATAAGCAAATTTTCTATTATTTTTTAATTTTTTACCTTGCTGTAATCTGATTTTTGTTCTCTTCATGAATACTTCATTCTTAAATCTCACTTAGCAGTATTTCAACTACCACCCATAAAGGAGTAACTGATATGAAATTAGCTCTCCAGTTATAAGCAACTCTAAATCTGGATTTTAAAATATGAGATGACTGATTTTGGACATTGAAAAAATGAGTAGTTTAAGGTTTTTATTCCTGACAAAAGGGAAATTGATAAGGCGACAATTTCCCAACTGCAATAAAGAGCTCTAGGAGCAAAATAGAGCACAGTAATCCTGTTGAGTTGCAAAGCAAATATGAGTTTCATGGACAGTGGACGCATCTGGAAGAAGGCAGGAACTGAAGAAGACAGAGCAGTACAGAGAAGAGCCTCAGGTACCCCCATGGGAGGGCCCTCTGACACATGACATAAAATCCCTGACCAATAACTTCTATCCAGAATGTGCAGAGAAAATTCACAACTTAGTAATCAGAATATAGGCATAAGACTTGGACTCTTCACAAAACACAATATACAAATGACTAATACAATGTTAAAAGAAGCTCAACATCATGAGTCATCAAGAAAATGTAAATTTACTGACAGTTCAATACAACTTCACACAAACACTATAATGCCTAAAATTACAAAGATTGGCAATGCCCGGTATCAGGGAGGATACAGAACGACCAGCATTTATACATTGCTAGTGGAAACCTAAAATGGTTTCAACACTTTGGAAAACAATTTGGCAATTTCTTATAAAAGTTAAACTTACCATATGACTCAGCATTCTACTTCTTTATATTTCCTCATGACAAATAAAAATACATCCACAAAAAAAATTGTAGGTGAATGTTCAAAACAGCTTTCTTGATAATAGTAAAAACTTGGGGCCAGGCGTGGTGGCTCAAGCCTGTAATCCCAGCACTTTGAGAGCCTGAGATGGGTGGATCACCTGAGACCAGCCAGACTAACATGGAGAAATCCCATCTCTACAAAAATACAAAAATTAGCTAGGCAAGGTGGTGGGCATTGTAATCTTAGCTACTTGGGAGGCTGAGGCAGGAGAATCACTTGAATCCGGGAGGCAGAGACTGCAATGAGCCAAGATGGCTCCATTGCACTCCAGTCTGGGTGACAGAGCTAGATTCCATCTCAAAAAAAAAAATAGGAAAACCCCAAATTTCCATTAAAGGCTAAATAAATTGTGAAATATTATAAAAGGGAGTAGTATTGATCAATAAAAATGAACAAACTACTGATATATGCAACGGCATGGATGCATTTACAGACATTTTC